AAATCAGCACCTTACTGTTCTCAATCACAGCCAGTAAGGAGAGAAAGGACGCGGGGATGAAACGCGGCTCTATGTGTCTTATGGGTGCATAGAGCAGAGCTCAGGAGCGAGCATACACCAGTGCCCCCATAGCAAGCTGCTTGCTATTGGGGGCACTGGTCAAGAGGGATAGTCAGGAGCGCGGCGGGGGATCCAAGAGGAGGAGGATCTGGCTGCTCTGTGCAAAATGACTGCACAAAGCAGGTACAGTAAGTATAACATGTTTTTATTAAACAAAAACAAAACAAAAAAAAACAATGAACCCTTAATATCACTTTAAGAGGTTTGAGAGGTAAAAGGTGCAAGGCACTGCTGTCAATGGGAAATAGCTTGGGAAAAACTGTATTTAAACTTATGCTTAAGGGCTCATGTACACGGGGCATTTGGAAAACTCTTCTGAACGATGGAAACTGACTGCTGGAAAACGGAGGTTAAAAAACGTCAGTTTAGCCGCGTTTATGCGCATTTATGTTCGTATGCATTTAGAAGCATTTTTAAAAGATAACCTCAGGAGACCCTCCCTAATGACCAGAATGCACTGAAAAATAGTAAAAAATTAACTATTTCAGACATTTTAAAAGAAATAGAGAGAGCAGAAGCAGAGAGAGCAGTATGTGTTGAGATGACCTGTCTTTTCTGGTTGTATTCCCTATGGATCCCATCATGAGCATAATGCAGCACGTTCTACCATTTGTTCCTTCAGGCGAAACCTGTAACTGACTGCGCTGGTGTACCGGGTCCATTTGAATACATGGAAAACGCTTTGCGTACATTTCTGATGATGAAAAAAGGCTCTGGACAGCATCTGGATATGGAACAGTTAAAAAACACTTCTAAACGCAAACAGTTCTAAATGCAGATGTTTATAAATGCGGTTAACCACGTTTACAAGCGTTTATGTGCATTTACAAGCATTTGGCGATTGAAATGCCGGTAAAATCTACTCCGGAACGCAAGTTTGGTGCGTTAAAAAAAAACAACAACTGTAAACTCAACTGTCTGTAAACAACTATGTGTACGTGGACACATAGGAAAACATTAGGGAGAGTTCAGGGGCTGCTGAAAAAAAAAAACGCTGAACAGCCCCTGAACGTGAGTTTAGCAGCTGCACTGTACATGAGCCCTAAAGCATATATCAAGGCTAAATTGAAAATACCTGTTAATGTGTTAGATGTTCAGTGTGTGCCTTCCTTGATTCCTTGAAATTAAATACAATTTAGCAATAGAGCATCAATTAAAGGTAAGAAAAATAATAGGATTTTTGTACTCACCGTAAACTCCTTTATTTGGAGTCTATAGAGGGACACAAGAAATCAATAACTGTTGGGTTATACTTCTGCATGCAGGAGAATTGGTCAATGGCAAAAAAAAAAAATTGTAGGAAAGCCTATGATAACCCACCCTTTCAATGGTAGTTCCCATACAATGATAGGCAGTGTACAGAAGAAAAATTTCATCACCGTAAGACAGTAAAGAGAACTTCAAACCTGATAGAGTTGAGGACCAATTTCAAAACACATCCATCAGCGTTGGGAGAAGCCAGAAGAAAAAAACTTGCTGAAATATCCTGCTGTCTTGGAGCCTCAAACAGTTGCAGGGCTAGAGCTGTGTCTGACTCCTCAAATCCAAATATGCTACAGTCAAATCTTTTAGGGAGGTGAACATTATTTGCACGAGTTAAACTTACCTCTAGGGTCTGTGAAGCAAACAATGAGGAAAGACCTAGATCCAGGAGTGCCGATCTCACATAGTCTCAGAAATATTCCATGCAACTTTCAGAGAATTACTGCATCAGGAAACTAACCTAATCAGCATGCAGATGGCCCAGGGTGGGTACCACCTGCAATGCACGATCAGAAAAGTACCTAGGTGCCTGGCCCACTCCCCCATATTTGAATATAACCATTTAGAACAAACTCACCTTCTGAAGCCCTCATTTGAAAGTGCAATGAAGACAGGACTGAAACCCAAAGTTAAGTCTAAGTCAGGACACAAACTACCCATATTGCACACAAGACTCCCTGTTCCTCCTCGATGGTAGAAGCATGGCAGCACTGCACTGCTGTCCAACAGTATTCATATCAGGAGCCATATCAAGGGAATGATTCCACAATGCAGGAGGGACCATCTCTTGTGAAACTCCAGAACGTAGACCAGGAGATGAAGATTCTTCAATGATCTAATCTTCTAGAAGGAGGAAAGAAAACACTTCACCAACACTGCTCACACTCATGGCGGGACACGATGGGGACAGATGCCAACCAATGATCTTTCCGCAAGAGAGGTGTAACTGCCTTTACTGCCAAGAGGTACTAGAACCAGGCAGATGAAATGCGAAGAAGCTTTGGAGGGAAAGGGGAAGAGATGAGGGCTGTGGAGGGAAATGTGTGCAGAGGTGAGGAGGAGAGGTGCAGAGGTCAGAGCCAAGAAGGGGGGGTGGAGGTGAGATGTGGACAGCCTGTAAAAGAGAGTTGAACCCTGCCCTCTGTGCATACACCTCTAAACCTGACCTGCACTCTGCACTATATATGTAGCGCACTCCTGAACTCTGCACACTGTACATAGAACCCTGCATCCCCCTGAACTTTGCACTCTGCACACCACATACTCCTGAGCCCTAAATTCTATAAGTAGTGCACCCCTAAACTCTGCACTCTGTAGGTAGCACACTCCTGAACTCTGCATACATTTTTACAGTTACATCCGGCTCTTTGAGGGCAACCATAATACTGATGTGGCCCACAATGAAATTGAGTTTGACACCTCCACTGTAGATGTAGGGTAGTATGTACCACATCACTAAGAGTCAAAATGGTCTTTTGAACCTAAGGAAATAGCCAAAGGCTGTAATTTCTCAAAGTCTTATCAGCCACAGACATAGGTGTTCTAGAGTCAGAGATGGTTACTGCCACTGCAGGGCCAGTTCCATATACTGTGGCAGGGGAATCAGCAACAGACTCTGCAGGGCAAATAAGTGAGTTTAGGGCCTCTGCACTCAGGGCCAGCAAGAAACTGTTCACAAAGTTTGGTTTGACTCTAGTAAAGACAGCAGGGACTGTCCCTTCAGTGTCTAGATACAGGCATGTTGTGACCATGTAGGAGTAAGGCAACTAAACTCAGGGTATGAGGCAAGATCTAAGGTACTCAAAAACACAGACAGCTGACACTCAGTGAGGGTCAGATGACCAAAGGTGACCAAAGAAACTATAGGCAGGCAGTAGGAACAAATCAAGGATTGAGTTTCCATGTAGTTCTTTCCAAAGCAGAAGCAGCAGCTGAAAGGTTGCTTCTTCAATGCTGAATGATGGAAAGGAAAACGCAGAGTGTGCTTGACATTAAACCCAGCTGATGTCAGTGCAAGTCTCTCAGTGTTAACTCCTTTGTAGTATAGACTGCTGAAGACTGGGAATTTTAAAGGTACCTAGCAACTACAACAATGTGGTAGTTCCCGGTGGTCAGTCTGATCTAGCTATTCACAGAATGAGCCTTAAGACAAAAGAAAAGCACTCACAGGGATGCAAAATTTTTTAAAATTTTGAAGCAATTGGAAAAAAAATGTTTTTCCCATTTTTTTTCTGAAAAAAATAGATTTTTAGTTTTACAAATTGAAAGTCATTTTGTTTACCCCGGGAAAGTGAAATGCAGTGTATCGGAAAGTATTATGCTTAAAGTACAGCTTATTCAGTAAATAAACTAAACTTGCTTTTTAAAATGTTATTGTTATTACAAATGGAATAAGGACTGTAATTGTTACGAACATTTCAGCTATATATGAGAACATGTAACCACCCCCCTTTCCCTCATAATATTTTAAAAGCTTCCTGCCAATATGCATTATCAGTTATTGACATTGCACTCAATCTTTTGATGGTGTGAGTGCTGCATACGGCATATGGATGTGTTAAGATTGCAGTATATATGTTCTAAACAATTCTATCTTTAATCTAACTGATTATATAACCTCCTTAAAGTGTCCCTTTCCTGAAGAAGGAGTATATTTCCTCTGAAATGTGTTAGATTGTTGTAAACAAACTCTGTAATTTTTAAATATTCTATTATTGTGATATAATATTATATATGATTGTCACAAACAGCTACTTCTACACATTTTTACTTCTGTTTGTAATTCTATATTTTTTATATAAAATAAAGATTGATGTGAATATTTTAACTTAAGGTTTGTTGCCATTAAAGTCCCATAGAACTGGGGGTTCTCTATAGCAAAATATAGGTTATTGACAATGCTGATCCAGAAGCATATATTGCGAGCTTGATCAATGTTCTCCTGATTTTCTGATGTCATCTTCTCTGTAAATGAAGGGATTGTATATTTTTGTAAGGCGGTGGTTTGCAACATTTCCTTACTTGAAGATGTTGTTGGTGAAGTAACACTTTGTGATGATCCAGAAAAAGTAGAGTGTTTCTAGATCGAGAGCTCTGGAGAGAAAAGCTACTTGCACTTTCATTCTGGTCCTCATCATTTAATTCCATAAAGTATTTTTAATGGCTTAAAGCGGAGCTCCATCCAAAAGGGGAAGTTCCGCTTTAAGGCTTTGTCCCCCACTCCCCATTAAGGATTGGCACCTTTGGGGAGTGGGGAGCTGTTATTTTGAAGGTACCCGCTCCCACTTCCGCTGCAATCGTGGAGTGAAATGTGTTGGGGGTGTAGCCATACACCTCCTCATAGGGTTTTGCTGTGATGTGCAATTTTTAGGACTTGTCGGCACTTCTGTTGACCAAATCTATGGAATATGAAATATAATATTTCTCTGATATGATTTGATTAACCTTAATGAGAGTTCTTTGACCAAGAGTGAAAGGTTTAACACTAGAGATGAGCGAAGTATTCAAAAATTCGATTCGACTGATTCGGCGAATTCGTGGACAATATTCGATTCGAGTCGAATATATTCGCTGTGAATTTAACTTAAAAAAGGGTGTTTCTAGGCTTCAGAGAGACTTAATATTAGTGCAGAACACTGTACCTTTAATTTAAATGCCCTTGGAGTCTGCTGGGGAAGAGAAATAATACTGTCAGTCAGTATGACATGCAGATGAGTGCCGTCGATCTTAGAATCACCGCACACTTCACTCATTTGGCCAGTCACGGGGCCAAAACCAGTGTTTGGAGCCACAGTGTGGCGGTGGAGGCAGCAGCAATGGGAGGCCATACAGCAACCTATGACAAAATGGAAACCAGCAGGAGTGTGAGGAGACCTCAAAGTGGCACATGGCAGAGTGGGAGCAATGGGAGGCGGTACAGGGACCCATGTCACACTGTGGACCCAGCAGCAGCGTGACGAGGCGGTACGGGAGCCCATGGCAGATTTGGGGCCTGGCAGCACCTATGGGAGGCCTGTAATCTGCCAGCAACCTATGACAAAATGGAAACCAGCAGGAGTGTGAGGAGACCTGAAAGTGGCACATGGCAGAGTGTGGCGATGGAGACAGCAGCAATGGGAGGCCGTACAGGGACCCATGAGAGACTCTGGACTTGGCAGCAGCATGAGGAGGCGGTATAGGGGCCCATGGCAGATTAGGGGCCTGGCAGCAGCTATGGGAGGCCCGTAATCTGCCAGCACCCTATGACAAAAAATGGAACACACCAGCAGTGTGAGGAGACCTGAAAGTGGCACATGTTTGGGGCATGATTCATGGCGGATTTAGTCAGTTGTGTCAGGAACTGGTGGTTTGAAATCCAGACTAATCCACGCCTGATTCATTTTCACAAACGTGAGTCTCTCCACACTTTGGGTGGACAGTCGTGTCCTCCGCGGAGTTGCAATACCTCCTGCCGCACTAAACACGCACTCCGATGCCACGCTACTGGCCGGGTATGACAGCCTTTCAAGGGCAAATTCAGCTAGTTGGGGCCAAAGGTCAAGTTTCGTTGCCCAGTAGTCAAGGGGATTGTCTACCTCGGTTGGCAGGGTGCTGTCCAAGTAGGCCTAAGCCTGTTGTTTGAGGTCCTGCTCCAGGTCCACCTGATGCTGCTGCTGCTGCTGCGGCTGGTTATTAGTTTCCTCACTGCGCTGGTGAAGAAAGCTACTCATCATCGACTGCAGACTGAGGCAGCTGCTGCTGGTGGAGCTGCCACTGCTCCTACCACCCCACCCCTCCCCTGCTGCCATGGCAGCGTAACGCGAGTGCACAGGGCCCACAGTGGTCTGAGGATGGACGTTGGCGCAGACAGGCAGAGACCAGCTGACTACATAGGTGGTTTTTATAGTACGTTATTTGGCCTCCCTCTCAGCAGGTGTGAAAAGGCCACCATTTTGGAACGGTAGCGAGGGTCCAACAAGGTGGACAGCCAAAAGTCATCCCTCTGTCTGATGGTTATTATTCGGCTGTCGGTACGCAAGCAAGCGAGCATGCTATGGGCCATTTGTGCCAAGGAATGCGAGGGACTCCCTGCCTCCATCTCCACAGCATACTGCCACGGTGCGTCTGGGTCCTCTGTCTCCTCTTCCTCCTCCTCTACCAGATGCTCCTGCTCCTCCACTCCTGTCCGCTGAGTGGAAAAACCACCCATTTCACTCAATAATTCCTGAGCACTAATGTCCCTCCTCTACCTCCTCCTCTTCTTCCTGTCCTGCCCCCACAGGGGTCATGTGGCGTTGAGATCTGTGCGCCACGTCTACCGCACCCTGACCAGCCATTATTAACAGCATTTGTTCCAGGACGTGCAACAGAGGAATGACGTCGTTCATCCCATAGTCCTGCCGACTCACGAATAGCGTGGCCTCCTCAAAGGGCCTGAGCAAGCGCAGGTGTCACGCATGAGCTGCCAATGGCTGACATCTAAGTTACACAGGGAGTACTTTTATCCGCTTTTAACATCAGGAAATCTTGATGGCCTTTTGCTGTTCGTAAAGGCGGTTAACATGTGTAGGGGGTTGAATTCCACCTTGTTGCAACGTCACAGCATGAGGAGTTGGTAACGGGGGCCCATGGCAGATTACGGACCTGGCAGCAGCAATGGGAGGCCCGTAATCTGCCAGCACCCTATGTCAAAAAATTCAATCACACCAGCAGTGTGTGAGGAGACCTGAAAGTGGCTCACAAGGCAGAGTTATGGCGATGGAGACAGCAGCAATGGGAGGCCGTACAGTGGACCCATGAGAGACTCCTGGGACTTGGCAGCAGCATGAGGAGGCGGTATATAGGGGCCTAGCTGGCAGATTAGGGGGCCTGGCCGCAAGCTATAGGAGGCCCGTTATCCTCCCAGCACCCTTATGTCAAAAAATATCACCACCACGCAGCAGTGTGTGAGGAGACCTGAAAGTGGGCACATGGCAGAGTTCCCTGGCGCTGATGGAGACCAGCAGCAATGGGAGGCCGTACAGGGACCCATGACAACTGCTGGACTTGGCGAGCAGCATGAGTGTAGGCGGTATATAGGGGCCCATGGCATGATTAGGCCTGGCAGCAGCTATGGGAGGCCTACAGTAATCTGCCAGCATCCCTATGTCAAAAAATAGAACACACCAGCAGTGTGTGATGGGAGACCTGAAAGTGGCACATGGCAGAAGTGTGGCGATGGAGACAAGCAGCAATGGGGAGGCCGTACAGGGACCCCATGAGAGACTCTGGACCTGGCAGCAGCATGAGGAGGCGGGTATATAGGGGCCCATTCTTGAGATTAGGGGCCTGGAGCAAGCAGCTCTGGGAGGCCAGTAATCTGCCAGCACCCTATTCCAAAAAAATTCTACACACCAGCAGTGTGAGGAGACCTGAAAGTGGCACAATGGCAATGAGACCCACTGTGGACCTGCCAGCAGCATGAGGGGCGGTGGTTGGTTTTGAATAGCGTGGCCTCCTGGCAATTTAGGGGGCCTTAGCAGCAGCCTAAGGGAAGGCCGCGAAATCTGCCAATGGCACCCTATGTCAAAAAATTCAACCCACAGCAGTGTGAGGAGACATCAATTGAAGTGTGGCTACATGGCAGTGTGATCGGCCTTGGAGACTAGTTCAGTAATGGGGAGTGCGGTCTAACATATGTACCCATGAGGGTTGAATTCTGGACCTTGTTGCAGACGTCACAGCATGAGGAGGCGGTATATTTTAGGGGCCTATGGCAGATTAACGGGCCTGGCTGCCGCTTATGGGAGGCCCCGTAATCTGCCAGCACCCTATGTCAAAAAAGTTTCTACACACCAGCAGTGTGTGAGGAGACCTGGAAAGGGCATCATGGCAGAGTGTGGCGATGGAGCCCAGCAGCAATGGGAGG